GCTCGTGACCCTCCCCCCCACCATGTAATAGCCTTGTGACCCACTGAGGGGTCCCAACCCCTAGTTTGAGAACCCCTGATCTAGTCTGACCTCCTGTATAACACAGGCCAGATAACTGCCCTAGGACAATTCCTGTTTGAATAAGAGCAGATCTTTTAGAAAGACCTCTAATCTTGATTTTAGAGATGGTCAGTGACGGAGAACCCACCATGACCCATGGTAAATTGTTCCAGTGGTTAATTACCCTCACTGATAAAACGTATGCCTTATTTCCAGTCTGCACTTGCTTAGTTTCAGCCTCCGGCCGTTTGATTGTGTTCTACCTCTGCTTGCTACTTTGAAGAGCCCATTATCAAATATTGGCCATGTAGGTACTTATCGACTGATCAAGTCACCCCGCAACCTTTTCTTTGTTAGATTCTAGGAGCTCAGTCTGTAGCTAATCAGGATAAGGCAGGTTTTCTAACCCTTGCATCATTCCTGCGCTGTGGGCACCAGAACTGTTTGCTCCCGAGCCAAACGCAGGCTGGGCTGACACCAAGGCTAGCTGCAAAATCCAAAGTTACTTCCATTATAATTTTCAAACAAAACTATTTAATTAGATTTTTTTATGGCAAATTGAGTGGGTGCTGCAACAGGGGGAAGGCCCATCACAGGCAGGAGAGCTGAGATGCAGAGAAATCTGCATTGTTGGTTTCTAAAATGCAGGTGCTGACAGTTCCTTGTTTGTTTGTTTGTTTGTTTGTTTTTCCTCTCCAGATTTTGGTACGGTCCCCAGCCAGATAACTTTAACAATGAGGATTGTGCATCTCTGAGATTCGAAGAACCCCCGCCGCGTAACTGGAATGATGACAGGTGCTCCAAGCCTTACCCCTACATCTGTGAAAAGGCAGCAGACACTCTCACCATCTCAGCTTCCTCTGACTCAGAAAATCTTTTTCATTGCGGCCAATGATGCGGCATCCCAGAATGCCACTGGGCTCCTCTTGAGCCTGTTAATCTCCTGCTGACCAAACACCCAGTAGAGGGTGCCGAGGACTCACCTTTGCAGCTGGCTTGGCAGAAGACCCAGGCTGTCCAGCCCCGTTTTCCAAAGGGTATTTTTGCCCAGATCCACACAGGGACTTCGGTGCCTAAACCTAGGAGCTAAGCACTGACTGAGATCCACAAAACCCCCACTCAGCTGTGGCCTAAACTTGTAGGCACCTAAATTCACTTGTCACCTAAACTTTTCCTCTAAAAATCCCTCTAGAATCCTAAGTTTTCTACCTCTAGGCATGCCCACTGCTGCATCAGGCAGGCACCCAGTGCCTGGCTCCCAGCACACAGCAGGTGTAATGGAAGGCTAAACTGTATTATATGGTTCAGCCACTGGGTGATACTGTGTGTGTAACCCTTCTTGAAGCTAACCTCAGCCATACTTGGCAGTCCATCAACGATCGTGTAGTGAACGGGGCTGGTGTGATCGGTCTGCGAAGGAAGCTCTGTAGCCAGTCCATAGGTGGTGCAGAAGCCTGACCTGCTGGAGGCAGCCCTGAACCCTAGCGTGTACAAGGTGCATGTGATATGGTGTCAGGAGTAAACTAGTGCCAGAGAGGAACACAAACATGGCAGTCTCTGAGGGCTCCTGATTCTGCACCAAAGGACCGGTGCAGGAGGAGGACTGATAGGCCGTACGCTTGGGCTCAGAGTTATCTCCCCATGTATTGAATGGGCAGCCTAGGTGCCTAACCCAGGATTTGTGGATTCCTCTGCGGGGCTAGGTGCTTGAAAATTAGGTGTTGCACCACCAAGGTCCCTTAGTATATCCATGCCTTTATGTAGGCCTGGTTTTCCTTCCCCACCTCTGCTTTTTACAGCTGCATTTTGGTTTGGTTTTTCTTTTCTAAATAAGAGACAAAGGGAGTCTAATAAAAAGAAGGAGTTGGAGGAGAAAATGCCAAGCCAGATCTCGTCAGCTGTGCCCCTACGTCCTGTCAGAATCACAGTCCCCGGTTTGCATGTGTATTTTACGGTGGTGGTGGTGATGATCCCGGGCTCTTAGCGATAAAGTGACTTACACAGGAAGTCAGTTTCTCAATTTTACAGGGGGGGAAACTGAGGCAAGTGACTTGCCAAAGGTCACCTAACAGGCCAGTGGCAGCGTTGGGAATAGAACTTGGCTCTAGTGAGTCCCAGTCCAGTGCTGTATCCCCTAAATCAGAGACCTGGGATCTATTCTCTGCTCTGCCGTGGACTTGAGCAAGTTGCCTCTCTCAGTGACTCAGTTTCCCCATCTGTATAAGAATGGGGGAATGAGGCTGTGAGGCCACAGCAGTGTGTGTACAGAATGCTTTGAGAACAGCAGCACAGTCTTAGCACCGCTTGCGCAAACACACTATTGTCAAAGAATACAAAGGTTTCCGAATCAAGCACGTGACTGTGGGGAAATGCCAGACTGGAAGCGGCTTGTTGCGCAGTGCAAGTGGAGACCTGATAGCCTGCAGCAGCAAACCAGGAACCAGTGATGAGCACCAGAGAGAGATGGAATTTGATGACTTGAGAGCTGCTACCCTGGACAAATCTGAATGGGTTTTCAGTGATACAAACCACTTCCCTGGCCTAGTCCCCAGCCACACTTCTGGGAGGAGATTTGCATAGCCCTTGTAAGTAGGACTTTCCCAAGACCCTGATTCAGCTCTTCTGCAGTAGGAAGCACCTGCAGCAAATGGTCACACCCTGCAGCAAGCTGCGGTTCCTGAAGGTCACAGTTTCCTCAGCAATGGGGCCGCGTGACACCAACTCCTGTACAAGGTCAACACATTCTCTTCTCCCTCCCCTGCTCCCGTGACTCAGTTGTTCTTGAGACACTGAGATTTGGCCAAAACACGTGGAAGGCCTTGCAGATAAAGGCTTAGAGCCGAGCATGAAGTGTAATGGCCACAGACATCTTTCCTGGGGATGCATTTCACAACCGTGGGCTCCAGCTGAAAATGACCTTTGGCACTACTGCAATCTATGCTGCTCACAGCTGTGCGGGTGAACGATCAAGGAACATTCAAGCAATCGTTAAAACCAGGGTAACTCAGGAACAACTTCCTAACCAACCGCTTGAGGAGCGCCGGTTACAAGGGGCAGCTACAGGCTCCAGCCCTTGAAGAGGCTTTTGGCTTATCGAAAAAAGTCAGCATGGCTCCTTTCTCTATAAAATAAGACTTAGCTGCATCCCACTCTCACGGAGGGGAGGGTGAAAGGCCCTGAGGCTTCCCCAAAGCGTGAGAATGAGAACGAGCTGATGGGGAACCAGCAGGAAGACCTCAAAGGAAGGAAGTGGCATTTTGAAATTCTAGCTGTTTGTCCTTTACTAACTCGGCATGCAATCCAGGTGTTGTATAGCCCTAGCTTTTCCAACCCCTACGTGTTTCATAGGCCCAGCTGCTGCGTGTCTAAGGCAGTGTGGTCTCAGACGGGGATGTTCTTCTCTCTAGGTCAAGCCTGTGAGCTCTAGTAGGAGGGCAGATCTGGCTTCTGACTTTTGGTGCTTTTTAAAATCAGAGCATTTCTGTGACTTCATTAGGGTGATGGAATTTGAGGGGGCAGGTGAGCAGTGCTCTGAAAATACCATTCATTATGACTAGGGCCCGAACAAATTCAGGGTCCATTTTGGTCAATTTCACAGTTGTAGGATTTTAGAAATTTGTAAATTTCAGTATTTAAATCTGAAATTTCACAGTGTTGTAACTGTAGGGGTCCTGACCCAAAAAGGAGTTGAGTGGGGGGGTTGGTTGTAAAGTTATTGTAGGGGGGCTGTGGTACTGCTACCCTTACTTCTGCGCTGCTGCTGCTGGCGGTGGTGCTGCCTTCAGCGCTGGGCAGCTGGAGAGCGGCGGCTGCTGGCCGGGAGCCCAGCTCTGAAGGCAGAGCTGCCGCCCGCAGCAGCGCAGAAGTAAGGGTGGCCTGGTCTGGTATTGCCACCCTTACTTCTGCGCTGCTGCCTTCAGAGCTCGACCTTCAGTCAGCAGCCGCCGCTCTCCAGCCACCCAGCTCTGAAGGCAGCACAGAAGTAAGGGTGGAAATACCATGACCCCCCCTAAAATAACTTGGCCTCCCTGCAACTCCCTTTTGGGTCAGGACCCCTAATTTGAGAAATGCTGGTCTCCCCCGTGAAATCTGTATAGGGTAAAAGCACCCAAAAGACCAGATTTCGCAGGGGGAGACCACATTTCACGGTCTGTGCCGTGTTTTTCATGACTGGGAGTTTGGTAGGGCCCTAATTATGACAGTTGCATCTAGAAGTTCTAACCAAGAGAGTGGCTCCAGTGGGCGGAGGGGTGTACATGGGTGCTGAGCACTGAACACATTTGCAGCTACAGCTCCTCCATCCTAAAAAAGAAAGCCATAACTTGATGCTGGTCACTGAGCTGGTGAGTGATAAGAGCAAGGAATAGAAGCTGTGCCTCTTTCTGCCTAACCTGCCCCAACTCGCGGGACCTTCCCTTGGCAAGTTACTTGTGCATATTGTCAGACTAGCGGCTTCATTTGTTTCTCGAGGATTCAAGTGTGTAAGCCTTTTTGCTTTGAACTTTTGCCTTTTTCCTTGTGGAAGGGAAAAAATTACACACTCCCAAATCTGGCCTTTTTCTGATGCTTTAATCGTTAATAACAACTCATCTACATATTTCAGCAGCTGCCAAATAAGAGAATTAAGTCACAGCCAGCAAGACTGTATTCTGTAGAAACTACTGGAAGTGAGCAAATCAGCATCTGCGGTCTAGGGTGTTACACACAGGGTTTAGAAACAGGGCCCACAACACAGGGGCCAGAAAACTTCTCAGCCTTCCTGTCCCGCAGCTGCATGCTAGGGGCTGTGTCCCTGCCAAAGGGCAGGTTGATGGCAATGTGAAAGTGCTGCTCCCCTCTGCTCTGTTTCCATAGGCGATGGATGATTATGGGGTTAAGCTCAATGGGAGTTCCCGAGTCCATCCTTCCCACAGGTGGCTCCAGTGATGACAGTAGCAGGATTTAGGTAGGTAGATGTTTATTCCCTCAGCATCTGAGATGATGCGGGAGCCTCATGCCCAGGACATTTCACCGAGCGTGTTCATTATTTGGCCAGCACAGTAGCACCTTGGGAGTACGTCTGCTGGACAGCAGGCGTGAAAGGGACCTGAGCATTCAGTGCACCCTGGTCATGTGGCCAGCACAGAATCACTAACTTTTTTAGCATCTGTTCTCTATTGTTTTTCAGCCTCATGTGGAGGGAAAGCTTCCCTGGCCAGGGCCAAACCCCCGCAGCTGTATCTATACCACATGGGAGGCTATATAAAGATAGTTTGATATAGGTACAAAGGCCCCTCCCTTCCCTCCACCCCTGCCTCTGTGAGCCATGTTTATATGGTATTTGGAGGAGAATATGTTCCAGGGGGTGGACTGTCATGTCTTCAGTGTCTCTCCCCCACTTCCCTTCCATCCCGTGACAATGATTAAAGGCTGGGGGGGCAGTAAGGCAGTCTCTAATTAAGGCTCTGAGGTGCCAACTCACTGTGTGGTCCTATCCTCTTCTCTCACAGCAGGCACCCCAGCACAGAACCACCTAGCTGAAGCAGATAACTTCAAAGAAAAGTGAGGTGATCAGGTTTGCTTTAAGCTGACAGCCTCTGTGGAGCCCATGCTCGCCCTCTGAGCGGCTACAGCAGTAGGGTTTGGGTAGATAAAGAAGGAACGGGGGCCATAAGAATTTGTTCTTATATAGGTCTGAGCCCTTAAAAAAAGAACAGTAATAAACATGTATTAACTGGGATTTTTGTGCCATGTCCATTTTGGGCATCTATCAAAATAGCTGGCCTACCTCACTTGTATTCTCATTTGCACTTACGTGGCAAGCAGAAGTTTGATGTATTCAGCGGTTACAAGCTGCAAAGAATAACAGCTGCAATTAACATCAAATTCTTCAAGAGCAAGGGAATGTAAGATTGTGCTGGTTGTTTTTAAGCCGCGGCATCTGAGGTTCAGACAGTGGCTAGGACACTAGACGCTGCCAGTCTTTACAAATTTAGTTCTGCAAACAAGTCACGCTTTGCCATGTCTCTCCCTGAGTTTGTGACATATTTCTAGAGACACAGCACCCTCGCATGGACAACTGTACTGTAACCTAGTGTAGGAAGATCTGCCACTAGACAACTTTCCCTTAGCTCTCACACTTTAAAAAAAATTGCTACTGCACGGTTAGTACCTTTTGGAATTAATGAGTATTATATGGTGGATAGATTATACTTCGATATGCAAATGCACATGAGAGTTTGGGGAAAGCTCACAGTAAATACTCATATAAATCAGAAATAATAATGAAAGTTATGACACCGCATTTATTCACAAAAATTTGCACTTTTTTTTTTGCGCCGTTTGGTTTGATGCTAGAATTTTGTCCCTTCTCACACCGCGTAGATAATGACATAACACGAGCCCTACAGGACACAGCAGTGTACATAAACACCTTGGGATAGATTCTCTAAGCCACACATGTGCAGTGTTCGGTCACAGCAATGAGAATGATCTGCAGTGGTAAATGATACAAGGCTGGGAGATGCCACTGTGGGGTGGAGCATGAACCTGGCCAAAGTGCCCCACAAGGAGCTCACGAATGCTACATGGAAACTGGTTAACTTACTGTTTTCAGACCTCGTATTCCGAGCGACAGGCACTACTGTATCAGTTTAAACTGGAACGGCAGAGGAAAGCAGGTGCGCCAGTCCTCCCTAAGGCACTGCAATGTAACCCCAGCATCCATGCTCATGCCACGGGCCTGTGCCCTGGGTTAGCTGCTCTTTCTCCCCCCACCCCCCCAGACCCTACATTCAACATTTTGGCAGCATGGCAGATCTGACTGTTAAAAATTATAACAGGTGCTGAGGCTCTGGGCCTAAATCTGCCTTACGCTGAAATATCCTGGTGAGGATGCGCATGCCTTATTCCTTTTGTTGTCTCCCTACAGTTACTGTTCGCATTAGAGCGTGGAGGGCAAAGAACAAATGTTGTGACCAGCTGCTGCTTCCTCCAAGTCCTTTGGTATCTCAAATCAGACGGAAAGGGTCCCAGATGCTCCCGTGAGAGTCAGAGTTCTGAACCATTTACAGGGCGGTCACAGAATCATTCATGGACTACAAGCAGCAATACACAGCAAGTAACAGAGGATCGGGTAGGAAAGTTGTGTCATGCAAAGCCCAAACTACACACTACGCACCACCCTGCACGGGTCAGATAGAGACACAGCACAGGGCCCTTCTCTCCAGGTAGGTACAAGAGAAGGTTGTACTGTAATCCCACAGTGTGATTGGCCAGGCTGGACGCCCCATCCCAAAAGGACATAGGAGGGTTCTTCTCGGGCACTGACTGGTGCAAGTTCCAAATCACAGTGAAGTCTGAAAAAGCGGAGAAGAAACCCAAACCCCGCCCCCTGAAACAGAAGCCCCCTTAACCCCTAATCTGACCCCCTCTACTCCAAAGCAACCTGATCAGGTGAACAGGGCTCAAGCAACCCGTCCTGGGAGCATCCCAAGGCCAGGGAGTTCAATTCATTGTCAACCATGAAGCCGTTGTCCTTCATGGATTTTTTTGAACCATCACCCTTCACCTACCAATTGTGCTCCTTTTACATGTAGAAAGATGGAGAAAGCAGGCTTCCAATCGGCTCTTCCTGTACGGACAAACTGCTACCCTCTTCACAAACCGCTGCATCCTTTACACATGCTCACACGGCCTTAAACCCTTTCTCGAACAGAAGTAAACGTTAAGATAAACTAAGAGGCACTAATATCGCCGCGTACTAGGCAATTCAGGCTTGACTTTCAAACCCGGGTCCAAAAGTCTTCAGACATTTCATCTGGCTGGAGGAAACCCAAGTCCCTGTTCTAGATCTCTTGCAGCGAGTAGCCAGGGTCGCTACGTTCGCGCTTCACTAGTGGCTCGCCGACACTTCGGGAATCTGCGTCTGCCTCGCCTCCAAGGTCGCTAATGTCATCTGTGGAGGACAATTCCCAGTATCAGCATTTTCGGGGGATAGAAAGGTGCAACTCAGTTAAACCAGAGGACGGAGGTGGCTTGCGCCAAGTTTTTATTTATTTAGTATTTTCAAGTAACTATTTCTCCTGAGATGGCCCCCTGGAAACTGTGGTCTGCGGACACGGTCAAGCTTCCCCTCCCCACAACAAATGAACCTGAATATTGACTTAAAGGAGCGACCTCTAGAGGAGAAAGAGAGAAGAATAGAGCCGGAAGATACCTTTATCCAGCAGTGTTGAGGACATGGATGCAAGGTCACTGAACTGAAAGAGAAAACAACTTGGATGAGTGAGGTTTAGAGAGTCCCCTGGTTGCACAGACAGTGCTCAGCTGTTTCAAAACCATTGTAATTAATAGCTGATTTTAAGAATTTAACAGAGATTACAAATCTTGGCCGCTAATTCCCAAGCAGCACAGAGGGGGGTGCTGAGCAGTCAGGGATCTTGAGCTGCCCAAGACCATTCAGGCCAGAGGTTGCCTCCAGGGCCAGATGAACCATTAGACTAATAAGGCTATAGCCTTAGGCTCTCCTATTTTTAGGCCCTACTGGTCAGGCAGGGTGGCGGGAGCTTGCTCATGCAGCCCGGCTGGAGCGCTCCTGCCAGCAGGAAAGGCAAAGCAGTCCCCTGTTGCTTGGAAGGAGCTCAGCCGGCAGCCAGCCTGCGGCATCTCCCCACGCTGCAGGAACACATTGCCAGGGATCCAGTTAACACTGGTGACCGGCCACTAAAAATCCGGTTACCACAGCAACCTGTGCCAGCCGTGGGTGTAGTTTGAATGGGCATTGCCCCCCTGATTTCTCCAGAGCTCTGCTTAGCTGTCAGGGAGGGAAGTAGGGTGACCAGACAGCAAGTGTGAAAAATCAGGACGGCGGCGTGGGGGGTAATAGGAGCCTATGTAAGAAAAAGACCCCAAAATTGGGACTGTCCCTATAAAATCGGGACATCTGGTCACCCTAGAGGGAAGAGGCTCCCTCTGTCCCTTTCCTGGGCTGAGGCTGGCAGGCAGCTCCAGGAGGCTGCCTCCTTGGTCCTAGTGCCCATCACCATCCTCTTCTATGCGTGCTGGGTCCCATTTCTGGACAACTGGTGAGTGGCGGGGGGAGCAGGGGGAAGAGGCAGTACCAGAGCGGTAGGGTGGGAGGCTTGCACAGAACCTGCACACACTATCCAGTTCCAGACGGAACTACAGTTCTTTTGAGTTTCATTCCAAAAACTTTAAGCTAAATAAACCTGAAGTTAGTCCTCATTTTTCTGCCCCAACTCAAACTAGCTTCTTTCCCAACTGGAAAATGTTGGGTAAACATGGAATGTGTGTGAGTCGAGAAGGGAATGAGAACACAGACCTGCTGACTGTCAGACCTGTGTAGTCTTATTGACTTCGGGGAGAACAGATTTTTGCACAAGAATAGATTCTGGTGTCTCCTGCTTTTTCACACCCGGTATAAGCAGAATCTCATTCCCTTTCCTCCCCTAAACTCTGAGCACTTGAAGGAAAAGAAATAAGCGAGGACTGCTTGATTTACACATGCAAACGAAACAGGAAGCTCTCCCTTCATTCTACACCAGCCTTAAACACCAGACCTGATGTAACAAGGGTGTCACTACAGCAGCCGTGGTTGGACTGTTCTTTTGAAAGATCCTTAATGGTTCTTTTAAGATGCTGATTTTCAATGAAGTCTTTTTGTTCAGGGGGGCAGAGAACACAACAGGGAATAGCTCTGTTTTGTCAACTCCTAGTCATTCAAAAGCTGAAAAGCTTTAGAACCTTTGTTTAATGTTTGTATCGTGATTCTGAAGAGCTAACATAGTACAGAAGTGCTAAATATCATGACTGGGCAGTCATCTAAAGATCTGTTTCATTTCTAGCTGTTACCTTTTCCTTTCAGAAAGCTTAAAACAAACAAATGCAAACCGTAGGGGGCTGGTGCAGACAGAACTCATGTTAAAAAACCTCATGTCACAGCTACTGATCTCACATTCTAGAATAGACAATACTTAGTCCTGCCATGAGTGCAGGGGACCGGACTAGATGACCTCTCGAGGTCCCTTCCAGTCCTACGATTCTATTCAATGATTCTAATTGTGGCAAAGCTTGGTGACCGAGCGGCCTGATGTGGTGAATCACTGGAGATTAACTACACAAACTGGGTATCATCCCACAAATAATATTTGGGTTCAATGTGAAAACAGTAATTCACCGTCCTCAGCCAGTGCAACTCTGGGGGGCAGCTTTCAGAGCAAGACAGGCAAAAATACAATGCCACCCAGTGTCATTTTCCCACTACTCCTTCCTCTACTTCACTGGATTTTACACCGGAGTGGTTTTCTTTTACATAATAACAGCTGGCTGTCTCCCAGACTGCAGTGAGAGTGAGATGGGGTGTGTGGGGGTAGAGGCCATAGCTTGGGGGAAACACCTGCAGGGCTTGGCTTTGCACTGTGCCAGGGGAGAGCTGAGGGTAGAAGCACAAGGTGGAAAGAGGTGAGCAGGTTGGGGAATGTTGCAGGTTCATCCTCCGACAGATGAGCACTCCACTACCTAGGAAGGAGGAGGCCAGGAGAAGGCCAGCGTAGCATCCCTCGTGCTCTCTCTTACTCAGAAGTATCTGTTTGAAGAATGAGTGTCGTGAGTAGAATAAACTTGTTCATTTTACATAAATAAATTAATATGTAAATGTGTATGTAGAGAAATGTTTGATGACTTCATTTTTTTTTTTTTGCAATATGTCATTCATACTTAGGCCCCTCCGGCCCTGGTTGCCTCGTATGAATGAGTGTGTATAGCTCCGGTGGCATTACACCCGGTGTTCTTCACAGTAATATGATGATGATACGATTATGGCATAACTACAATGTATTTTATGCAAGATAGGTCATGTGAGAGATCACTGGAAAGGTTATGATTCACTGAATATGGTTATTCTATTTGTATGCATGTATCATTTTAGTATCTGAAGTTAGGAATATTGTTTATGCATCTATTACAAAGGTGTTTACACCTGGGGTACGCCCACTAGGCAGAATGCAATCAGTCTGGATGAATGGCTGGGAAGAGCCATGAGGGAGAACAATAGGTCTTAGAAAAAGATAATCTCCCACCAGGGAACTTCCTGAGGACTCTACAAACAGCCTCCTAGTCACGGCTACTATGCCAGTACAGGGGCATGTGACCAGATCACCCGGTACTGCACTCTATCTTAGAATACCAGTGTTTTGCCACTGAAAGGTGTGGGAACCAAGCTTGGAGAGAAAGGGTTCCCGCCATATGCAAAAGCTATTTAAGGCAGGGGAGTGACATCATCATGGTTCTTCACTGATTCCCCACCCAAAGAGACTCCTGGAAACACCTGAGGAACAAGGACTGAACTAGTGGGAAGGGTTGGACCCAGGCTGGAGGGGTTTCTAGCCTGCGAAAGAAATACCTGGGGTTTTAAGCTGCAAGCAAGTGCAGCTTGCCCTTTAGGAATCTCTGGCTTAAATCATCATTTAGGGTGAGAATTTGCTACTCATATCCAATCTCTTTAGTGTATTAAGCTTAGATTGTGTTTTTGTTTATATGAGAGGTAATCAGCTGTGATCTGTTTGCTATCCCTTATAGTTACATAAAATCTATCTTTTGTAGTTAATAAACTTGTTTTTGTTTGATCTAAAACCAGTGTGTGGAAATCATAATGTGGGGCAGAATGCTGTTACATATCTCTCTCCACATTAGGGTGACCAGATATCCCCATTTTATAGGGCCAATCCCTATTTTTGGATCTTTTTCTTTTATAGGCTCCTATTACACCCCACCCCTGTCCTGATTTTTCACATTTGCTGTCTGGTCACCCTACTCCACAGTGAGGGAGAGGGCGAATTTTATGCGCTGACACTATACAGTTCTTTGTGCAGCGCAAGATGGTATAATTTTGGGTTTATCCTCCAGAGGGAGTGTGCGCCTGAGAAGCTGGTAAGTGCCATAGCTGGTCCGAACGCTTGTCTGCATGTTACTACAGCTGGGTGTGTCTCTACCTGTGCACTGGTGAAAGTGTGAGACTGGGAGCGTGTGTGCAGCTTGTCACAGCCTCACAGGGGGAGTGGGAGCCCAGGCTGGTGGGTCAGGGGGCTCAGTGGTACCCCAGTTCCAGGTGGCAACCCGGGGGGAACCCATCACCGCTCCCATTTAAGTCAATGAGCAAACTTGTATCCAACATGCACAAAACCCCATACACAGCTCAAGAGGCAGAAATTGACTCTATTAAAGTAAGAGGAGAAACTTGCTTATCCGTTTCTGAAATCGCGAGCAGACCATCACTATTATAGACTTGGACCTACATTTTGTTTTTTAAAAAAATGTAATACCCAGAGCATTATTATATTATTATTTGTATTATTGTAGTTTCCACTAGCGCCAGTAATAGCTAATAATAGCTAGCCCTCTTATGGCGCTCTTCATCTGTAAATCTCAGTCAGCAAACTGCTCTATCACAAACAAGCAAAACAGATTTGCCTCTTTCGAGTTTTTATTGTTACTCTACATCTGTGGATCAGACCTCTCTGGCCAATGCAATTTCTTTCATTTAAAAAGTACTCTTCTGCTGGAATGGCCACAGTGCCACCTACTGGACAAAGGGAGCTGCTGAGAGTCAGTGTTGGTCAAAGGCACCACGCGTGCTGAGAGCTCTAAAGCTCCTCGTGTTCTGTCCTCAGAGTGCCTCACTAGGACAGAGAGGAGGGTTCAGTCTCCATGGCCCATTCAATGCTTGGCCTCTCTTCGGATGTATCTATTAAGGGGGCCAATTAGTGCCAGTTGAGGTGCTGGCGATGTGGACATCTGTCTGCTAGGAACATTGTCAACACTGCACAGCTGGGAGAGGGCAGGGACGAATATACTTGGGCTAGATTCAAAGCAGTGGCGTCAGAGGTGAAAAGCTCCATCTCCTATTGCCACTCCTCTAGGCCACTGAGACACCAGACCCGACTATTTTTTATCCCCCATGAATTTGCTCCAACAGGATAGAGTATCCTGGATTGGATAACCGCTTGGTCCTTGTCAAAGACAGGATCCCTTTTTAAAGAATGTATCTAGCTGTGAGGCCTAAACTTCTACCTTACAGGACCTTAAACTCAGCCTGCAAATCTGTGAGCTCCTTGTGTAATTAGGCTTGAAGCACTAACCAAGAGCAAACTTGTGCAGAGCATCAAATGGCACGATGCTGGGTTTCTCTGTGCTCACAGGCACACACATGGCACCTTCCCTCTCTGCTGCCTGTCTACTCCGCTCTTAGCAGCAGTCATTGGATTGCAATAAATAGCATTCACATTGCACGTGTGTATCCAGCAACTGAAAGAGGTGGCAGAGTTACAGTGAGGCCTTGCAACCTTACCATGGACACTTAGGGTATGTTTTCACTACCCGCTGGATCAGCGGGCAGCGATCGATCCAATGAGGATCGATTTATCGTGTCTAGTCTAGACGCGATAAATCGACCCCCGAGTGCTCTCCCGTGGACTCCTGTACTCCAGCTCGGCGAGAGGCGCAGGCGGAGTCGACGGGGGAGCGGCAGCAGTCGGCTCACTGCGGTGAAGACACCGCGGTAAGTCGATTTAAGTACGTCGACTTCAGCTATGTTATACACGTAGCTGAAATGGCGTAACTTAGATCAATCCCCACCCCAGTGTAGACCAGGGCTTAGACAGCCTTTAAAGAGCAACTTTATGTCAGCTGCATTAGTTACTTTGCTTGCCTCTATTATTTTAGTAAGTCACCTGGAATGATCAATACTTCTCTCTGACTTCTTGCAGTGCCTTATTACTTTATATTAATGGAGGCACCAGCTGAACTGCTGGGTAAGACCATGAAAAACAAAGCTGTAGTAGGAACATAAGTTAGTAAGAGCAATAAAATACTGAGGAGATGTACATGAAAAGATGGGATTAGTTCTCTTATGCTATGAAGAATCCTTCTCCTTCTGAAGTTTATGCTGCATACAAATATTTACAAGAGTCTAATGAAGGAAAATCAAACTGTCAAACAGTTAAAGCCCACAATTAGGGCTTGTTAAAAGTATAAACGGAAATAATTCCATATCGTTTTAAAAATTCTTTTTTAATGAAAACAAGTTTTTGTGTATTTAAACAATCTGCTGCAGTGTTGAGGACCTAACAAAATTAAGCACCGGGCTAATGGGTCAGAATTAGAAAGTGAAACTAACTAAACAGATGGTGAAACTTGATTTATCTAGTTTCACTGCGTCACTTGCAGGAAAAGGGACGAGAAACAAACAGTATAAATCCAAAGAGCAAATTAGATTTTTAAATGTATTTGTTTTAATCTAGCATGTTAATGCTAGCAAGGAAACTTTTTTACTGAATATTTTCTATGTGGACAGCGAGCTTTAAGGGGACACTATCAACTTGATATCCAGCCGGTTTAAAACGTGATTTGGAAGTGGCTTTTGGTGTAGCATCTGTGTCTGGGCCCCACTGCCAAATCTTTGGGGGCTTATGACTAAGTGTTGTGATTTGTAAAAATGCTTTTCCCTCAAAAACCCAAAGAGGGGAAAGTGGTTGACTATGCACAGAGGTTGAGGTTTTTGAGGGGATAGAGCAGCTAGGGACTCCATCCCAGTAAAAGCTAATGGGATTTGGGTATGTAACTTGCAGGGATGTTTTAGACACACTCCCGCAAAGTGCCATCAAATGGGTGCTTCCATATTCTGGCACCTAACTTGAGCCAATTTGTGTGTGATGTTCAGAGGTGCTGGGCACTCACAACTCCTAGTAATTCAATAGGAAGAAACTGAAAGGTCAGGGTGTCTTATGTTAGGTGCCAAAAACAGAGGTGCCAAAAATTAGTGAATCCTTCAGAAAAAGTGGCTGATACAACATGTTCAGAGCACAGTGTAGCTTGTGCTGGTGGTGTCCCTTTAACCACTGCTCAGTTTGGGTTCTGTTACTAGGGCATAAATAGTGCTCACCTCTCCCATTACAGCAATTGGTGTCTCCCCTGTTGCCTGGGCAACACGATGCTCTACCAGATAAAACATGTATTCATCGTAGAGCAGGCGAATCAGGTGAAAGGAACCAAAGCTGGCAGCACTGCGCAAGGTGAGGTCACGGATCACCATAGAGCTAGAGAACGGTTAGGAAACAAAACATTTTGGACACATTTTAGAACCACAGATTGGCTGGTGTGAATTCTAGAGTGGGAAGAATCATGGGAAATGCTGAGTCATACTGTGCAGTACCTAATACGCGATCGTTAAATTCTTCCTTTCACCCAAAAAATCTCAAAGCACTTGAGGAACATTAGTTAATTTAGCCTCACAAAGCCCCTAGCAAAGGAGATTCGGATTATTATCCCCAATTCACAGATGGGGAACTAAGACAGAGAATCAGGGCCTGATTTTCCATTGCCCTAAACACTCATGTAGTCATTCATGCCAGGGTAGAGTGATTTAGGACCCAAACTTTCGGCAGCCAGGTTTTAGGATATTGACCTTGGATGGCTTTTCTTTTTGAAGTCTGGCCTGCAGATGGACAAAATTTAGCAGCAAGGTATTTAGATGTCCCACGCAAGTGCATATACACTTCCAGGATAAAAAAAAAAAAAAAAAAAAGAGGTGTACCTATAGAAGGACCACTTCAGCAGGAACTGCCTAGCTGCCTTGGGGAAGCTGGGGCTGTCCTCATGGTGCTTTAGAACTTGGGTGACAACGTTATCCAGCCAACTGGCCCACTGATCGAGGGAGCTCTGCTGCTGTAGGGTGAGTTTGAAATCCTGCTCCAACTTCTGCACCGTGCCTTCTTCACACTGGCACACCCAGGAGGCTTGCTCCTGCCAAGGGCACAAGAGGAAATTAGAAATTGATATTTACATGCCTGAGCAAAACGGCTGTTCATTCCATCTCATGGCTTTTGGTGCATCCTGACTCATATATCTGGCAAAGGAAAAGACTCCAAGTCAGCAGAACAACGTTCTGGCTCACGGGACTCCATGACTAGATCTTCTGTATGTACCAGCAACATCTGGGATTTTCAAAAGATGCCTCATTAGGTGCCAATAGGCAGCAGGTTTAAAACAAACAAAAGGAAGTATTTCTTCACACAACGCACAGTCAATCTGTGGAACTCCGCCAGAGGATGTTGTGAAGGCCAAAACTGTATCAGGATTAAAAAAAGAACTAGATAAATTCATGGAGGATAGGTCCATCAATGGCTATTAGCCACGATGGACAGGGATGGAGCCTGTGTTTGCCAGAAGTTGGGAATGACAGGGGAAGTATCATCAAGTGATGACAGGGGATGCATCACTTGATGATTACCTGTTCTGTTCATTCCCTTTGAAGCACCTGGCATTGGCCACTATTGGTAGACAGGATACTGGGCTAGATGGACCTTTGGTCTGACCCAGTCTGGCCGTTTTTATGTTCTAAACTGCCACTGAGTTAAATGGGATTTGGGCACCTAACTCTTTAGTCCTGGGTGAGATTTTCAAAAGCATTTACAAGCTTTAGGAGCACAAGTCCTGTAGGTTTTCAAAGGGACCTATACGCCTAAATCACACAGGCACTTCTGAAAATCCCACCCATTCACCCTTTCACCAACCGATATCAACGTGGTTTTTCCAACATTAATAAACCTCTCAACCCACCATATGGTGCAGGTCAGTACTAGCGTCCCCATTTCATTGGGTGGGAAACGGAAGCACAGAGAGGTTGTGACCTGCTAAAAAAATCAGGATTGAGACTCCGGAGACTCCCAGTCCCCTGCCCAAATCACTAAAATCCAGGCTTCTCAAATGTGTCCATAGCATGAGCCCCATTTTATAAAGTGATGGTCTTGTGGACACCTCCTTTCCTGCTCACCACTGTAGGACATCCCTTTGGCACCTATAACAACTGCTTTCCTAGAAAAGCAATCCTGGGAAAGCATTTAATGGATGCTTCATTGTCTTGTGGTGCAATCTGGTAGTTGGCACTAAGGAGGAGCGAGCACTATGTGACCAGCTAGATTTCCGCGGGCCACTGTAGTTTAGGAATCCTTGCACCACGTCACATGGCCTCAACTGAAACATCACAAAGTCACCTGCACGTTGGCGAAGTCCACTCGATTGAGGTCGCTGAGCATCTGGTTTATCTGGGAGGTGTTCTGGAGCACAGCTCGAGCTGCCTGAGCCAGATGGTTCAGGGAAGTGTATCTCCGTAACGTCTGTGCAAAGGCACTCACTACTCCAACCTGTAAAAGGTACACCCACCACAGGGCCATACCGATTACACACACACCCCTTTCAAAACACTTAGGACATAAGCACTAAGCCACTCTTCGCTACTGCGTAAGGGCACAACACTCTTCTATTGATGCTGCTACTTATAAATCTTTGCTAGCACTCTTCACTGTAATAGCTCATTGCTACCTCGTATCAACCTAATTTTCTTCTTTGAAAGGGTACTGGCCTAATGGATAGAGGAGAAGGAGTAGACAGGATATAGTCGATGCCGCCTCAGCACAGGAGCTGGACTTTATGACTTCTTAAGGTCCCTTCCATCCCTACATTTCTGTGACCCTCCCAAGGCAATTTGCCAGAGTGGAACCCTTGGCTCCACGTCAGCAGCAGGGGAGAGTGTTACAGAAACATATGACTGGAGGGGGAAAATGAGCAGCTTTGACCATGTTTATCAGCTTGGACAATTTAGTGTTTATGTAAATCAAAGGCTGGCAGAACTGACAAGTAGAGGAGACACTGCAGTTAAACAAGGCCCGCCAATGCTCCTCGGTCACTGCCGGCATTCCGGCTCTCTCTCCAGTAGAGCATCATTCCACTGCAGATGCCTAATTGCAGACTGTTTTATCTGCGACTACAGGGTGTGGTAAGCGCTTGATGAACACAGTGTCTGAACAATTAATCATCGCTGTTGAGTACTGCATTTGAAGCCTGGAGTTAGAAATAGCAAATCCAGGCCCCAGCATACATGCTTCATGAGATGAAGTGGCTGTGACCATATATTCCATGAGGAGATATCGCCCCATCCGTAGGTCCATGATAACATGACATGGACCTCTCCCCACATCTTGCTATTCTGGCTCAACACTGCCTGTTTATTCTGCTGAGTTGAGCATGGAATATGCCCAACTGGCCAAGTGAGCAGTGATGGTGTAACAAGGCCCAGCAGAGGCATGTCATTAAGGTGGGCCCAGAATGCCAGTCACCAAAGCCTGAAATTCCAGTGGCTTGGAACCACTGCACGAAACTGTAACAAAACACTTCCCCTCTGTTTGTAACAAACTCCCGCTGTTTACCTTTGTCTGGACTACCTGTGGGGGGAAATCGCTCATTGCATTCATCAGCCATCCTTCCAAACTCTTTGCAAAATTGCGGATGGCTTGCGTCAAGGTGCCTGCAAGAGAGAAGTCAGGATAGTTAGAGAGGCTTTTCCAAATTGCTTTAATGAGACCTGTCAGCCTAGAACTACTCTGGGAGATACTAAATCAAGATAATAGCTATTGGATCAGAAATTGTACCATGGGAGCCTAGTGCAGTTACAGATTAATCAGATGAATGCAGTCCATTGGGGTCTTGACAAAAAAAAAAAAAAAAAATAGGAGACTGAAATATATTCATCGGGCTGTGATTTTTGTCCAACAAATTAAATAGCTCCCTCTTATTTGAGGCATATGTGAAACTTTTCTAAGATCACTGGCATCTATAATAATAATGTTCAAGTGCATGTGTGGGCCAGGATATGAAAATCACAGACAACTAGAAGTTCATAGCACTGAAGCTATCATTTGCCTTTTTAAAACAAGACGGGATAATTTTTTAAAAGATATGCTCTAGTTCAAACAGGAATTATTTTGGGTAAGTTCCGTGGCCTGTCTTATACAGGAGGTCAGACTAGATGATCACAATGGTCCCTTCTGGCCTTGGAATCTGTGAATCTCTTTTGTTTGATATGCACATGTATAGTATATTCATTAGCAATAAGGCCCAACATCATGCAGAATGGACCAATAAGGACAATTAAGCTTCCGTGCTATAGGTACTTGTGGAGTCAGGCTTTTACCGAGGACCTGGGCTAACATTTTCAAAGCTGGGTGCCTGAAGGCAGGCTGTTAAATCCATATTAAGGCAACTAAACAAAAGTAGCCCAGTGTTCAGAGATGTGAAGTGAGTGGAAGCTGCAAATTCTCAGCATCTCCGAAAACTGGGTCACTTTTATTCAGTTGCCTAAATATGGAGTTCAGAGCCCAACTTGGTGTACCCAGGTTTGCAAATGTTGAGCCTCGTCTCCATTGTAAAGCTACCTTGTTAAAGTGCCTTTTTGGTTGTTTTTGCATCAAAACAAATTTAACTTGTTCCTTTTTATTTACTAGGTCACAATAGCAAATAAACATGTTTTTTAATGTATTTTTGCTGGGTTTGTGGTGAACAACAGAAATCACAGACAGGAAAGAGGCATTTAAAAAATAAGTTTTCATTTTCAGTAAATGTAATGCTGTGAAAGGGGCGGGCTTGGCAGTGCTAAAGAAGCAAACCTTCTTGTTCATTCCCGGACAAGGCAGTGACAGCAAGAGTTTTCTTCATGCCGCCTAGATCTCAATCCTGACATATACAACCCCACCTATACAGGGGCCATTTATAGCCCACTTGGTCCTTGCCTCTTCCATTAAAACTGAACACTTAAAGTACTTACCTGGCCCCCATTATGGTGGTATTTGAGCATCTCACAATGATTTGTGTATTTATCCTCACCGCCCTCAAAGGTAGGGAAGTGCGATTATCCTCATTTTATAGAAGGGGGCCCAGAGAGACAAAAGGCCCAAAAGGTATTTAACTCACACTCATTTCAATGGGAGTTAGTCACCTAAATACTTTTAAAAAGCTGGCCTCAAGTGACTTTCCCAAGGTCACACAGGAAGTCTGTGGCAAAACTGGGAGCTGAACTCATGTTTCCTGAGTCTCAGCTTAGCACACAAGCCTCCAGACCATCCTTCCCCTCCTGCCAACAGGAGGGCACACGGTGGTGGTTTTCTGCCACTAGGGACTGCACTGAGGCCATTAGGTCACTATTGACCTGGACAGAGTCTGAGCTAGTGAATGAGGAATTGATCCAGCAAAGAACATAAGCATGTGCTTCACTCCCGGTGCGTTCAGTGAGACTTCAGTGATTGCTGAATCAGGGCCTTGGGGGTAAAAGCCTCTGCATCCTGTGCTAATCTCCCAAACCAGTGTCAATATATATACAGAGAGAGAAAAAATCCATAATGTGCAGTCTGGGCCAGAATGATGTGACAGAACAGAAAGACACACATCTCTAAGGAAGCATTCAGCACAGATTAATTATGCTTAAATACATTCTATGCGTATTAAGCCTACATTTTCCAACTTGGTTCCTGGCCAAAGCCTGAGGCTGTGATAATGTGATTAACTGAATTTTTAAAAGACGGAAAAATACATCTAGGAGCCATGATACGATGCCCAAATGGGAATCATTCCATATAGAGGAGACGACTGTTGCCATAACAGACAAGCTCGGATACAAAACAAAACCCTTCTACGCCAGCCTTTATGGCAAGTGGTAGCCAACCTCAGTGAACCATCTATTTCTATTGCACAATATGGAGTGAAACAGTAAAAAAACAAACAACAACAACAAAAACACAAGAAAGAAGAAAGTTGGTCAAGAGTCAGGGCTCCCCATGCCATTCTGATCACTTCACAACATACTTACCAGGCACCGGCCTCAGCACGTCAGGGATGAGGATCTCCACCAGGGCCTGATACAGGATGTGATCACAGCTTCTCATCCATTTCAGGATAGGATCGTATTTACACAGAGTGATGAGCTTGTCCTTTGAGATGACCCCTTCGTGTTCTTCTTCACTACATGGCAAAGAGTAATGTAGTGTTAACGGCACCTTTCACTTTATGCACGTACAGTTGTTCCATATTTCTCATTAGAATAACACATTTTGGGTTTTAGTGAAAGACAACCTCTGGAGTCTCTCTGAGGAAGTGGTGCTTGATCAGTTGTAGGGACTTCATCAGCTCTGGGAGCTCAGCTCTCTGTATCGTGTCTCTGCTCGTTCTGGCCAGGATCTCACCTCCTATCCACACACCCCGTCTGGACCTCCTCTCATTCCTCCAGTCCTCTCTCAGAGGCTGGTCCTTCATTGCCATCAACTCAACCACCCACAACAGTTGCCTGCCTCCTCCTGGCTCAGTGATTCCCCATTCCCCTCTTTCTAAAACAAATGCAGCTCAAAACCCAATTTTTTTTCACTCCTTTCAACAAGCAAGTGCTCATCTGGTTCCTCACGGTGAGGCTGGCCATTCCCGGACATCCACACCTCTCCTTTCTGCTGTCCAACCTACTCCTTTTGACTATCACATTGCCACTGAGCGGACTGCTGTGACGTGTTGTATTGCCCGGTATTGCATACGAGCAGTGCCAAATTTGCCCGGGAAACAAATACTGAAAACATTTTCATGGAGGAAAAGCCAGTCCCATGCTGTGACAAGGACACAGCATTGTCTTCAAGTGAATGAGGTCAATTTAACCTGCCTCAATATCTCTTTATACATGGGCAGAAGGGTCTTTACTCTTCTTTTTAGTATTTTTAAGTAACTTTATTTCTCCCGAGATGGCACCCTGGAAACCGTACATTATCTTGCTCATAAATACAAGACCCTATCTTAGGAAAAGGTGAGAAAAATGACTTTCTGATGGGAAGCAAAGGGAAGCTGCAAGAGTGGTCACGTGCCCCTCCCCAGCGGCGCGGACACATCATTTCAGGCGCCTGGAGCAGCAGGTGAGGAGGAAATCACTGCGCTGGGGGGGGTGAGGATGCCCTGCGCTGTGCTCAGCTGCTAGCCCCAGCTGGGGCTGGGCTGGGGAGGACAGGCCTTCCTCTTCCCCTGTGAGCCCCACCCCCCTGCATCTGGACCACCCTGCGGAGCCCCCCGAACCCGACTCCCACCCCACTAGGCCCCACTCCCCCAGCCCCGACCCCCCTGCAAGAGCCACCCACATGAGACCCCTCCTGCTGAGCCCCCATCCTCCCGCACACTGAGACCCGCCCCCGCTGAGTCCAACCATCTTCACCTGGACCCCCCGCAGTCTCATTTCCCCTGCACCCAAAGCCCCCAATGAGCCCCTGTGCATCCAGATCTACTCCCAGCTGTCCGCACCCAGATTGCCCCACACAGAACCCTCTCACTCCACACCTGGATCCCCCCACACTAAGCCCTCCACACTTGGATCCTGCCGGGCTGAACCTGCCTGCCCCACACCTGGATCGGGGGCCAGGGCTGGACATGTGTTCAAGACTCTGTCCCACTTGCTTGCTAGTGGGAGAGGAGCTATGGTTAGTGCTGGATCATTTATTAAGCGGATGACACTAAGCTGCGGAGAGAGGTAGATACGCTGGAGGGTAGGGATAGGGTCCAGAGTGACCTAGATAAATTGGAGGATTGGGCCAAAAGAAATCTGATGAGGTTCAACAAGGAGAAGTGCAGAGTCCTGCACTTAGGACGGAAGAATCCCATGCACCGCTACAGGCTGGGGACCAACTGGCTAAGCAGCAGTTCAGCAGAAAAGGACCTGGGGGTTACAGTGGACAAGAAGCTGGATACGAGTCAACAGTGTGTCCTTGTTGCCAAGAAGGCGAACGGCATATTGGGCTGCATTAGTAGGAGCATTACCAGCAGATCGAGGGAAGTGATTATTCCCTGTATTCGGCACTGGTGAGGCCCATCTGGAGTATTGCGTCCAGTTTTGGGCCCCCCACTACAGAAAGAATGTGGACAAATTGGAGAGAGTCCAGTGGAGGGCAACGAAAATGATTAGGGGGCTGGGGCACATAACTTATGAGGAGAGGTTGAGGGAACCTGCCCTGGCCCGGTGCGTGCTGCTGCCACCCCGGAGCAGCTCCAGGTAAGTGGCGCCGGGCTGGAGCCCACTCCCCAAACCACTCCTGCACCCTGTACCCCAACTCCCTGCCCCGCACCTCTCCTGCGCCTCAACCCCCACCCTGAGCCCCCTGCTGCACCTTGCACCCCTCGTGCACCCCAACCCCCTGCCCTGAGCCCCCTCCCACACTCCGCACCCCTCCCTGCACCACTGCCCTGAGCCCTCTCTTGCACTGTGCACCCCCTCCTGTACCCCAACCCCCTTCCCTGAGCCCCCTCGTACACCCTGCACCCCTCCTCTGCCCCAACTACTTGCCTTGAGCCCCTTCCTGCACACCGCACCCCCTACCACACCCTGCACTCCCTCCCGCACCCCAACCCCCTGTCCCAGTCCTATATTCATGGTCCTGTATGCAATTTCCCCACCCAGATGTGGCCCTCGGGCCAAAAAGTTGCCCACCCCTGAGCTAGGCTGTTCTCAGTGTTGTTGGCAGTTGACAGAACAAGAAGCAATGGTCTCAAGTTGCAGTGGGGGAGGTCTAGGTTGGATATTAGGGAAAACTTTTTCACTAGGAGGGTGGTGAAGCACTGGAATGGGTTCCCTAGGGAGGTGGTGGAATCTCCTTCCTTGGAGGTTTTTAAGGCCCGGCTTGACAAAGCCCTGGCTGGGATGATTTAGTTGGGGATTGGCCTTGCTTTGAGCAGGGGGTTGGACTAGATGACCTCCTGAGGTCCCTTCCAACCCTGAGATTCTATGATCTTGGGGTGCCTGGTGCGGAGGGGCAGGACCCCAGGGGGTTTCTGGGACAGGCTCGGCCCTGCGCTGTGTTAGGGTCAGATACAGCCTCACCGCCAAGTCCGTGTCCCGGGGGAGGGATGCAGGATGACCTCTCATCTCCACAGCCAGTGGCCTGTGCTCCCCACTGCCATGCAGGAGCCTCCACATTTATTTATTGGCAAATAAAATATGTAGAATTTCATTGTGTGCAGAATTTTTAATATTTTTGGCGCAGAATTTCCTGAGGAGTAAAATCTTGCGAGACTGCAGCCCCAATGCATGAAACTGATGTTTGTGTCTTCCCTGATTGTGCAGCCCACCTGTAATAATTTTCTCAGGGGTGTAAGATTTTTAACAATACCTTAATGTTCCATGACTGTATCCCAATTACGATGCACCCCTACTTTTGTTTCCTATCTCTGACTCTCTAAACTAAACATCTGAAAAGAAACCTGCAGTTACAGTGTTTCTTTGCAGCGATCCATCCATCGGGCACATCTGAGGAGGATAATCGGGGAGAAAGGAGGAGAAAGGAGGGGATTTTCTCCCCATTTCCCAAATTTTTACAGTCCTTGCTCTGAATATAAAACATTAGGACCTGAAATCCTTATATACAGTCAGTGAAAGTGGACACTATTTGGACTTTCATTACCATTCCAACTATTTCAATTTCCTCTATTTTCACTCACTGTCCGTTTCCCTGTCCCTTGGCGGCAGGTTACTAACGCATAAACAGGGAAGAATAGGAAATAACAGAGAACTAGGCAAGAATACAATTAAAAGATCAAAGCAGCACATTTTGTCATTATGCCCCAGAACACAAGGCTTTTTTTTTTTTTTTAATTTTCATGGCAACCTGATTAAGAACGAGTCCCCATTTAGCTGAATGTCATTAAGTTCTTATTGGCTTCCTCTGATGTCATTCTGTAACAACCTTCAATGACATGCAGTTCTAAATGTCTGTCTATACCGGGCTTCTACAAAAGCAGTGACCCATTTCTGTTAGTCAAAATAACACGTTTTAGATTAGTATCTGTAATCAAAGGTGACAGCACATCAAATAAACAGATACTAAAATCCTCTGCATCTGGTATACAATTACAATAGTATACTTCTAACTCTATCCCTAAGATAGGGTCCTCTCCTGGTAGGTAGTTAACATCCTTAACTCTTACAGATCAATACAATCATGAAGCTGAAAACAGTATCACTCATGATCTCTAAGGTAAAACACTGGTAAAACTTAGGTCATCCAAAGGTTAGCAAGAGTAAGTGGGTAACCATTTACCTGGAAGGCATGGTGGTAGAGCCATCACTAGATGGTGTTTTAGAACTCCAGAAGGACTGCCACAGCTTCTCAATGTAATGAAACTGAAGGTTCATTACAACATCCAAAGTTGCCTAAGAATTAAAGATGACAGCTCATAAGATGCTCTGATAACATTCAGTTACACAGCTTCTTGTTAAGTGGAATACCCTACCACCTGGATTAGATACAAAAGTAGAACAATCTACAATGTGTTGTTTTAACACACAGAATATAAGCAGATCACACAGGGAGGAAATAGCATAGTTCAAGTTATCAAGCCAATCAAAAACATTCCGGTTCAGAACCCACTCCTCAAGAGAGCAGGACTGGGGTAGAAGGAGCACACTATGGAATCAGATCCTAGATCAAGCAAACAGAGCCTATATAGTTACCTCACAGTGTCGTCTGTAAAGAAGCTGTAGCGTCTTGACATCATTCATGGTGATCCCCTCTTGTAAGAGGACATTTCCTAGATCAGGTGCCGGGAAATCAGGAAAGACATGGGTTACATCTAGGAGAAAAGTTGGGAAAGATGGCAAACTTTAACAGGCATTCATAGTTTTATAAGACTATGAATTAGGATGCAATTTTGCAGCAGCCGGTTGCTACATTTCATATTTCAGATAACGAACAATGAGACCGATTGTCCAATACTTCAACATGTCATTCCAAAAAAGAACACCACTGCCCAATTATTCATTGTAGAAAAGAAAATGTTTTTATTGCAACTAGGAGGAAAGAAACATGAATGCTTTGTACCACTATAATGTGCGTTCCCATTAGATTTTCTCTGAAGTCTGAATTACATCCTTTTGGTATTTTGAGAGTACAATGGAAAATTTAATTGGATGGCAGACATCACAGGCACAACTGCATTTTAGAGACTGCTCAGAGAGGTCCATGTTCTTGTGTGTCATTACTCAGAAACACTGGGGGGGGAAACCTCAACCCCACACCTACAGTTTGGACTGGGAAGTAACTGGGTAAACTGTTGGTCTCACTTGTTTGTGCCCACTTTCATTCCTCTTAAGTTCCTTTGAAGGAGGAGCTGGTATCCAGCAAATTCTTAACACAGTTTTCCTTAAATAGAAAAAATGCAGCGAACTGTGGCAACTAGTAGGCAGTGTGTCTTGCATCCAGTTCTCCTCCCACACATATGGAAATCTATATATTGGAGGCCAGCCTTATTAGGCAACCTCCCGTCTTAAAAGATTGCCCCAAGTATACAGAGTACAGTTCGGATTCACCATTATTAGAAGGCCACCTCCATTAAGCAGTAAATATTTGTTGATCTCTTGAATGGTTACTTAAGGTTTCGATGTAATAGATGTGTGCACTGCTGGACATGATCCTCACCCAGAGTAGTGGGACTTGAATGGTATGTCTTTGTCATAGGAAATATGAGCTTCCCCAAGAATTGAATGCAAACTTTGCAAGGTGCATGCTTCTATCATGTGTGTATGCATTGCAATCACAACAAATCCACCATCTTGGAGGCTCTCTCATTTGAGTCATCCGCACAGAAAGAGCTAGGACTAAGACTTTTGTTACCCTTGTTCTGCAGGGCTGCTAGTTTTTCCATTATCAAGAGGAATAGAAGCATAGAATACCAGGGTTGGAAGGGACCTCAGGAGGTCATCTAGTCCAACCCCCTGCTCAAAGCAGGACCAATCCCCAGACAGATTTTTGCCCCAGATCCCTAAATGCCCCTCCCCCCTCAAGGATTGAACTCACAACCATGGGTTTAGCAGGCCAATGCTCAAACCACTGAGCTATCCCCCTGATCCAAAAGAGAACGTGGAGCTTATTGATTTGAATGCCATAACATCAACACTAAGGACAGGATAAAAACTTCCAGTAAAATTAATCTTAACCTTTGCCCCCAACTCATCTTAAACCGGAGCCTTTCTGAGGCTCAGAAAAGTTCAATGAATGGGAAACCTAGCTGCAAGCAAATATAATTTAAAAAAATACTAGTTAAGGGCTCCATTCTTCTGGTTGTAGTGCTTCCCACCCTGGGAAGCCCCACAGAAGTCAGCAGAGGTAGACTCTTAAGATTGCAGGGAGAATTTTCAAGAAAAGATGACAGGTTTCAGAGTAGCAGCCGTGTTAGTCTGTATCCGCAAAAAGAAGAACAGGAGTACTTGTGGCACCTTAGAGACTAACAAATTTATTAGAGCATAAGCTTTCGTGGACTACAGCCCACTTCATGCATCCGAAGAAGTGGGCTGTAGTCCACGAAACCTTATGCTCTAATAAATTTGTTAGTCTCTAAGGTGCCACAAGTACTCCTGTTCTTCTTTCTTCAAGAAAAGATGGCGATTTCTAAGTAATATATATAAATAAATGCTATTTTTAAGAACCGAAGCATGCGACACATGACATCTTCGCAGCATGCCTGAGGAAAGCTGTGCAGATTGTGGGTGTAATAGGGTTAGTGAGGGAAGTTGCAAATGTAAAAATAAAAGATACGGTATATTAAGCACTTATTAGGATATCTTTGGCAAATGTTGAAAATAAACAGACACCTAGAACGGCAATAGATTGGGCCCGCTGAGCAGGGTTGTGAAGCCTTTTCAAGTTAGAAATCAGTTGCATTTCCTAGAAATGAGAAAACTGAAAGGAAGAATGGAATTTGAGTTGAATTTCCTCACCTATAAACTGCTGATGGTGTTGACTTTGAGCTGCAACTGACTGTTCTGGAGTAGTGTGCAGGCTACTGTTGGATCCACTCTCCCTTATGCCATCCATCTTCTGTGCAGGTCTATACCTAGGAATATAAAAAACCCTCAGACTACAGCTTGGTAGTATGTACATTTAAAATGTGCAAACACACACACAGTGAAAGAGTTATCTGGCAAAGTCATATACCATATAACACTTCTGCGTTAAACAAACAAACAAGTCGCTTAATATGTCAGTGTACATTTATAAATAGCTTCTAAAGGGTTAATCAATTCTAAATAATTGTTTTAATAAATGGTTAATCAATTGTTAGATCAACAGGTGGTTTATAATCACGGGGTTTGCAAACCTTCTGCTGATATGCTTGTAACTATAACACATATTATTCATATCTGTGATATGCTTATGACATCTATTCAGCATTTATTAAGCCTTTATAAACGTATTCTTAGTATAAAATGTGGCCAAATTATCTATCTCAAATAATCCCAAAGAGGTAAATAGATTGTGTAAGTGGCATCAAATGCAGCTTGTTTCTACACAGAGTTAATAACAGGAAGGCAACAGTGTCATTTATATTGCTCTGCATTTAAAATAAAATGATACACAATTGTATGGCGCCTAGCAGAATGGGGTCCTGATCCACGACTGTCTGGGGCACCTAGGTGCTACTCCAACACAAATAATAATTAATAGTAGTGGTCATTTCCTGACTAACCTCAGAGAAGCATTGTATCTGCTTGTTTTAATTGTTAGATGTTGAAGAGAATGTAGAGCAGGTGGATGTCTCTCGTTTGACTGCCCTGGGGCCTGGAGTCTTCTTATCCATGGAGTACAAGCAGAAGAGTAGATGCTCCCCCTCAGCCCCCTGACCCAGAGAAACAGCTACTAGGGCTTGTGGGTAATTCAGTTCCTATGCTCTATTTGATTCTTGGCTTCTCCAGGGCCATCCGGGGGGGGGGGGGCAAGGTGGGGCCCCCACGAGAATATAGTATTCTATAGTATTGCAACTTTTTTTAATGGAAGGGGCCCCCAAAATTGCTTTGCCCCAGGCCCCCTGAATCCTCTGGGCAGCCCTGGGCTTCTCTGCTGATATTGCTAGTGAGGGAAGGGGGCAATCAAAGCAAGTTGTGGTGTGGAGTTTGGTGACGATGACAGCTCCCACTAGGAATGGCCTATGACCAATCAATTTCACATTGGGGTGGGGAAGCCAACCTTGTTTGGTGGCCTAACATCTTATTGCTACACTTTGCTGATGTGAAACGGACGTCCCAGTTTGCATCATGTGCATTCATGGTTTGCCTACATTTACTTGGGGGACGGAAATGCTAAAATGAATAAAACCATTTGGTTCCAGTGAAGGGACTGGGGCTCGGATATGTATTTTTTTTATTTGCACTAGTTGCTTTTACTGTACCTCTGAGGGTCAACAATCAGGAATGTGTCTTAAGTGGCTGGGATGCCATTTACAAGACAGAATATGAAGCACATTAACTTCTCCTTCATATTACAAATGGGCTGTGTAAAACTGATAGCTGGCCCTCCCCACTGCTCCTAACGTATCAGACATGCAATAAACGTTAGGATGATCCGTTAAAGAAGTGAGGCAGTACCAGTAAAAGTCTAACGGCTGCCTGCATTAGAGCTTTACCACTTATTTATAATTGTGTTTTAAACAAGGTTTAAGCATGGTTTCACAAGCCTGTTTCTAACAGAGCGCCAAACACGGGTAGGTTAATGTTTTAAAAAAGTGTTCTAGATAAATAACACTGTTTTACACACAGGTTTTTTTTAACCAAGTAAAAACACTGTTCTTTAATAGCAGCGAGATTTCACTGCAGATGAGGCCTAATACCAATACTCAAAATACTCAAAAATATTATGGAAGCTTCAGGCAAAAATAGGATGGAAACAACAATAAATATTTCATGTCTCTGTAGCACCTTCTCCAAATGCTTTATATACACATGTTCATGAAACGTCACATCATCCATCTGAGATAAGTATCATCCTCCCCATTTTATAGACAAGGAAACCGGGGCTGAGAGAAAGGTTACATGATTTGCTCAAGGTCAGACAGTGAAATAAGCAGCAGAGGTGGGTTTTTTTTTTTTTGCTGTTTGGGAACTAAAAAAGTTGAGATTTTTCCATGCCTTCACTCCAACCAGAAGCAAGAGTGCTGAAGCTGCCAAGAGGCAATTCAAGAGTTGCTTTGCATCATGACCTTCATTTAATTTTACCCAGAATTACCAGATGCGAGTCTGATTGGGCCCCATCTGAACCTCTTGCACTAGCTGGTCTATGAAAAGAAAAACAAGACCCCTTCCACTGGTTAAACACAAATAACTGTACAGCTAAGGTCTTAAAAATGTTGAGTCACTGGGATACAGTGAAAAGGATATTCTGTAGTGTTCACCATAGCAACAGGCAGCCCAAGTCCAAGCCTTTGCTGCACAAAAAGAGGCAAAGAGGAATAGTTTGTGGAATCCGAATTTCTCTTTGACCCTTCTTTATCCTTGTTCAGTATCAGCCACTTCAAGCTCTGTTAAGTGCAGTGCCTTCCTCCTTCCCTATAGAATGTACTTTACCTTATCACCAAGTTTCTTAATTTATGCCAAGTATCAGAGGGGTAGCCGTGTTAGTCTGAATCTGTAAAAAGCAACAGAGGGTCCTGTGGCACCTTTCAGACTAACAGAAGTATTGGGAGCATAAGCTTTGGTGGGTAAGAACCTCATTTCTTCAGATGC